CCTAATAACAATAACAAGAAAAGTATCAGTTTCCCTCTTAAAATACAGTCGTTCATTTCTGTGTCTCCACATCTGGCACAAAGTAATTTTGACTGTAACCGCACAGTCCTCATGTCACAGCCTGATCAGTCTGGCCTACTAGTACCACCACGAGGCTTTAAGAGCTCACCACTTTCAGACACGCTGATGGCCTGTGAAAACAGCTAAAGCTGCAATTCAGAAGTAAGCAGTCTGCCCTTCCTGATACCTTTCTGCCTTCCTTTCTACCTACGTGACTGATCATGATCCTTTGGTGAGGGATCAGGTGCTACTCAATTTCCATCCCGTAGAGGAGACCTGCTAACCCTGCTGTGGGGAGTTTTGTTAGGTGTTGCCAAATTTGGTTTTAGCGCATAGTGACCTTCTGAATTACAGATCACTGCCCAGTCCTATGCCACCCTCAAATTTTTTGCTGTTTGAGCCCTTTGTGACAGCTACGGTGTTAACCTGGCTCGTTGAAGGTACTCCTCTTTTTCCGCTATTCCTCAATTTGCCAAGCATGATGTCCTTCTTCAGGGACTGGTCCCTCCTGGTAACTGGTGCAAAGTATGTGAGATAAAGTGTCATCATTCTGGTTTCTATGGAGCATTCTGGCTACACATCTTCTAAGACAGATTTTTCTCTTCTTTTGTCAGTGCATGGTACTTTTATCATTTTTTTGCCAACAACATAATGAAAATACATCAATTCTTCTTCAATCTTCCTTATTCAATGTCCAACATTTACATGCATATGAAGCAATTGGAAATACCACAGCTTGGGTCAGGTGCACCTTAGTCCTTCATATATGATATTCTTGATGCCATCTCACAGCTTGTCTGGTCTTATGTCATTAGTGTTCAATGATTCAAATCTGCTTTTGAGATGCTGTCTAAATTCAGATGGGGTACACTCAAGGTCATATTTTGGCTCTTGTGGACTTGTTTTAATTTTCTTGGGCTTCAACCCAATTAGGTAGCTCCTTCAATCTGAATTTGCTTATGAACAATTGATGGTCTCTGTCAGTCCCTGGCCTCATTTGCCACCTGATATTGACCTTCTCCATCATCTCATTCCCCAGATGTAGTCAATTTGATTTCTATATATTCTGTCTGGTGAGGTCCATGTCTAAAGTCACAGTTTATATTGTTTGAATAATATATTTTCAATGAAGAAGTCTTTGGCCTACAAAATTCTATCCTGTTATCTCCATCTTTGTTTCTATCAAGGTCATATTTTACAACTATCGTACTTTCCTCTTTGTTTCCAACTTTTGCATTCCAATACCAATAATTATCAATGTATCTTGATTGTAGATTTGATCAACTTCATATAGAAGAAGTTGGTAGAATCCTTCAATCTCATTATCACTACTTAGCTTTAGTGGTTGGAGTATATATTTTAATAATAGTTGAATTAATTGGCTGGACATCCATGTAGATGTATAAAAGATATTATCCTATCATGAGTATTATTGTACTTCAAGATAGATCTTTAAATGTGCCCTTTTTATGATGAAAATGATACCACTCCTTTCAATATGTCATTTCTGGCATGGTAAGCCATGGTTATCTGATTCAGAATGGCCATTGTATTTCACTAATACCTAGGATATCGATCTATGTTCAATCTATCTGTGTTCCCTTGAATCTTTGCCAACTTCTGATTTCATAGATTCATATTTCATACATTCAATGTTCTGATTATTAATGGATGTTTGCAGACGTTTCCTCTTATTTTGAGTCATGCTCTATCAGCAAATGAAAGTCCTCATAGCTTTACTCCATTGGTATTATTATGGTCTACTCTACTCAGAAGTAGACTCTGCATGCCAGGAGAGACCAGTCCCTGAAGAAGGACATCATGTTGGTAAAGCAGAGGACGGGGGCGGGGGGCCTCAAGGAGATGGATGGACACCGTGGCTGCAACAATGGGCTCAAGCATCGGAACAATTGTGAGGATGGTGCAGGACCAAGTAGTGTTTTCTTCTGTTGTGCCTAAGGTTGTTATGGGCTGGAACAGACTTGAAGGCACCTAACAAGTAGGAAGGCAGCTCTTTCTCAGTCATATTTGAGTGCCTTCCATTGAGGGGGCTCATCTTCTGCACTTTATCTGACAAGGGTTTACTTCTTTCATTAAATTTTCATTGGCAAATCCCTCCGAAGTAGATAGCCTACTCCTCATCCATAGTCTACTCTCAGTCTGAAGGTAAGCTCTGCTGAAACCTGTTCACTTTCGGTGACCCTACCAGCATTTGAAACATCACTCACATTGTTTCTGGCATCACAGCGACAAGCAAGCACAAAACTGACAGACCAGTGGATGCATAAGTAAAGAGAGGTCCAAATATTTATCCACAAGGGACAGTAAATAAATTAGAGTAATCTGTTCCACTAATTATTGTATAACTACTACTATAATGACATGGATCCATTATCAGGTATCAAAGAACAAAAAAATCATATCATTGTGTGCTCACCTTCCCAATGCAATCGCAGAAGAAAAATGGGTGCATAAGCAAAAGTAGGTAAGAAAGCTGATGGTGTCCGGCTGTCAAAAGATATAGCATCTGGGGTCTTAAAAGCTTGAAGGTAAACAAGTAGCCATCTAGCTCAGAAGCAACAAACAATCCCACATGGAAGAAGCATGCCAGCCTGTGTGATCACGAAGTGTCAAAGGGATCAGGTATCAAAGAACAAAAAATCAAATCATTATGAATGAGGGGGAGTGCAGATTGGGGACCTAATACCCATCTGTAGGCAACTGGACATCCCCTTACAGAAGGGTCACGGGGAGGAGACAAGCCAGTGAGGTGCAGTATAGCAATGATGGAACACATAACTTTCCTCTAGTTCCTAAATGCTTCCTTCTCCGCCCACTATCATGATCACAATTCTACCTTACAAATCTGGCTAGACCAGAGGATGTACACTGGTACAGATAGGCACTGGGAACACAGGGAATCCAGGACAGATGATCCCTTCAGGACCAGTAGTGAGAGTGGCAATAATGGGAGGGTGGAAGGAAGGTGGGATAGAAAGGGGGAACCGATTTACAAGGATCTATATATAACTTCCTCCCTGGGGGATGGACAACAGAAACGTGGTCAGGGGCGATGTCAGATGGTGTGACATATGACAAAATAATGATAATTTATAAATTATCAAGGGTTCATGAGGGAGGGGGAAGTGGGGAGGGAGGAGAAAAAAATGAGGAGCTGATTCCAAGGGCTCAAGTAGAAAGCAAATGTTTTGAGAATGATGATGGCAACAAATGTACAAATGTGCTTGACACAATGGATTTATGTATGGATTGTGATGAGTTGTATGAGCTCCCAGTAAAATTATTAAAAATAATAATTATAAATTTCAATGCAGAGCACTTATAAAAGAATTTATTAGAAAATATTGTCAGTATTAAATTTCTTCAGTGTGTTATAATGATATATTCATGTAGGAAAATGTTATTGTTATACAATAAATGCTCAAGTTTTTGTGGCTTAAAAAAAGCCCAAGTCATTACACAATGGATATATGTATGGATTGTGATCAGAGTTGTACAAGCCCCCAATAAAACGATTAAAAAAATAAATAATGACATAGAACTAAAGTTCACATCAGACAATATGGCACACCGTATATGTAAAATGGGCAAAATGTCTAACTGTACATACAGTTATTACAATCTACAGAGAAAATTACGTAGAAGAAGGCAGATATAAGTGTTAACAGAGGCCACCTCTGGGTGATGGGATTTCAAAAGATCTTTCCCTCCCCCTTGTACTTTTTAGCATTTTCTAAGAATCTATGTGAGTCTTTGTTATTTGCATAATAACACAACTTCAAAGAGCTACTGTCCAAAACAAAACAAGAAAACTAGCCATAATAAAGAATTTCCGAATGTTTAGATAAATGTAGGAATGCTCACTCTCTAGGGAAAATTCTAGTATTTGGATGAATCTCCCTAATCTTTGACACTGGCCTTCCCTTATTTGTCATGATGTCGAGGGTAAACACAGAGAATATGCTGTCTTCTAGAAGCTATGAGATGGATCGACACAGTGGCTACAGCATGCGCTCAAACACGGATGGCCCAGGACCAGGCAGTGTTTGTCCTTTTGTATGCGGAGTGTCTGTGAGTCAGAGCCCACTCCATGGCCTGTAGCAACAGAAATGAAAGACGTGCCGTGGGTGTGCACAAAAGGAGCTGGGCTATAGCAGAGGTGGGATTCAGCTGGTTCAAACTTGTTCAACAGAACTGACACCTAATTTTCTGTTGAGTTCGACGAACTGGTTGTTAAAATGGCCTTTGTAATCAGGGTTCTCTCTAAGGCTGTGCAATGTGGAAGTCACAAATTGACATTCCTTACTCTTTCTTTTTTTCTTTTTTAATGGTCATCCATGCAACAGCATATTCTAAAAACCTTTAAAATGTTCACTCCATCCATAGGTATAAAAATTAGATGGAACTATGCTTGTAATAAAAGCAAAGAATATTGCAAGTGAGAGCACCAATCAAGAAGCAAGATGGGAAGATCTTAAATAACAGCTTGATTGTTTTTTGGTCAGGTATTATTTGATATGTTTTCATCAATAATTTAAAGCTCTTTCTTAAAATCTAGTTTTGTGTGCCCCTTTTAGTGTTCTTTGTTAAGTATTAACTGTATGAAGTCACAAACTATCTTTCAGGGTATCTTTTTTTAATAAAGAAAATGGTATTCAGGGCAGCAAACTGGTTGTTAAACATTCCAATCACATCACTGGCTGTAAGAGCAACGGAAACTAGGAGACAGCTCACCCAGAAAGCGAACTTTAAAAACTTTTCTGGACTCTTGGCAGGTTGTGACTTCTGTTTTTGAAACTCCTCCCACAAAGTTCTGGACTTCAGTTTAAGAAGACTGCTTCTAGCTCCTTAGCTCACACCAATCTCTGTGGGATTGGCCCACAGAGAGCGCAGATGGCATTGAGCAAAGTCCTGGTGCTGGAGTTGGCCGGGAAGTTTCCCCCTTCCCTCTGCGGGATGATTCCAGCAGACTTTGGACCTCAGGTGATCGCATGGACTGGAACCTAAAAGACAGGTTTAAATTTGTGAACCACAGCAAGTGATCGCTGGCTCTGAATATGAATTTTCCAGAAGGTGTTGCCATTCTTGAGCAAATCTGTCTTCAGTCTGATGTACTCATCGATCCTGTACCGAGGGGCTCTGGGAAAAGGGAAGCTTTTGCCCGAGGAAATCTTACCGAAGAACCCACGACTCATCTAGGCAAAGGTCTCTACTGGAATGAACGTGTCCAGTAAGTACTGCCACGTCAAAGATTACGGTATTAACTTTCCGGCTTTGTCAGGCGTGTTGTCTAAATTTGGCATAATGCACCAGAAGCCATATGTGCCTCCAAATTTCTTGGCTTCCTCAGTAGGAGGAGGTATTCTGGGCGCGATGGGTATTGTGATGGCTGTTTTTGAATGTGCCCAGTTTGGTAGGGGACAAGTCATCGATGCTGATGTGACCCAAGGCATAGCATATGCTAGTGTCTCTGCTGTGGTACATGCAGAATTTGGATAATTTTAACAGGCCCAAGGGAGACAATCTACATGAGCATGGAGCACCCTTCTCTGACACCTATCAGACCTCTGATGGGAAATTCATGGCCATGGGGGCTTTTGAGACCCCTATCTATGAGAAATTTCTGAAGGGGCTGGGTCTCGATCCTTACAAGCTTTCCAGGCAGCTGAGCACCCCAGACCGGCCAAAGCTGAAGACACTTGCTGCAGACAGATTTTCCTTAAAGACACAAGCTGAATGGGGTGAGATCTCCCAGGGCTTAGATGCCTGCGTGACTCCTGTCCTGTCCTAGGGTGATTTATCTCAGCTTGTGGAGGAGGGATGCCCCTCTCTTAGGATGGGTGGCCAACACCAGTTCCATTTCTGTCCAAAACCCCAGCCCTTGCTCTTCCCAGGCCAAGTCCACACCTGGGAGAACACTCAAAAGAAATACTCAGACTATTTGGATTTGATCAAGAAAAAATAACCCAACTTCATGCTTTGGGGGTCATTAAAAGCAGTCAACCAACAGCTAACCTGTAACATTTATCTGTGGAATGTACCTGCTTCCGAGCTAATCTCATGTTCTTAAACTGATGTATAAGAGTTGAAGCTATTGTAAATGCTTTGGGGCCAGGGGTCCATTCTTGGGTTAAGACAAAAATCACACATTTTCAGAAAATGAAAAGAATACTCACTTGTTTAACTTGTAAGCCTGCTATAAGTTTTCTTTTTTCTAATCAATAGACTTGATTTAAAAAAAAAAAAAAAAAGCAATTTCAGGTTTACAGAAAAATTAAGCAGAAAGTGCAGTTCCCCTATTCCCAGAGTTTTTCCCACTATAACATCTTGCATTGGGGTACATTTGTTATAATTGGGGAGCCAATAGCAGTAAATTATTGTTAACTAAAGCCCCCAGTTTACATAGAAATACTTATTTGTGGCAATGATTACCGCTCTTCTTGATGTGATTGAACTGTTTGATTATATGATATGTGAATTCCATGCCAATAAAATTGTTGGGGGAAATAATAAACAGTTTACATGGTCACATGGTGTCGCACCATTTGATGGATTTGGACCAATGTATAATGGCAAGTGTCCGCTTTAACAGGATCATACTGAATAGTTTCATATTCTATTTAACCTTTCCCTCCTCCCTTCCTCTTCCCTGATCTATGTTTCTTTGTTGTTGGTTTTTTTCTGCCTCTGTAATTTTGTTTTCCCCAGAATAGCATCTAGTTGGAACACCCAGCATGTCACTTTGGGAAACAGACTTCTCTCACTTAGCACTTTGCATTTAAGATTCCTCCATGCCTTCCCAGGGCTCTAGACCTCATTTTCATTTGAAACGATTGGATACCAAAGAAGGATGGTAGTACTGATGTGAATTGTCTGTGTCATTCTGTGATCCAGACCAGTGCCATGTTGGTAAATATTCCACCTAAAGTAAGTTTAAGATGTTGCCTGGTGTCTAGAAATCTAACACGTTTCTACATGACAACACTTGTTCAAAGTTCGCTTATCTCTGTTTTATTGGGTCTTCTCTGGTGGGGGAAGAGAGAAGGATATGAACTGCAATGTAACCATTTTGGACAACGCGTTTCAAGGTAGGCGATATGGAAAGAAGAATAGCAGATGGTTACATTTTAACAAAATGTAAACACACAGTCTTTCAGACCCACATGCAGACTGAGCAGTGCACCAGGAATTCTTCACTTTAACAAATACTGGGTGATATGTATTATTATTTTTTCCCTAAGACGAGCCCATATTTGTGTGTGTGTGTGTATGTGTGTGTGTGTGTGTGTGTGTGTGTGTGTATGTTGGGGGTGGAACACATAGAGCATTCTTGTCTCACGAACATAATCTTCTGAAAACTCTGTCCGAATTAGTTGTTCTCAGGGTGTACCCTTGACTTCTTTCTATCACTGTGGGACTTGTAACTTGAAGGTCCAAAGCCAGATCCATTTTCCTAAACTCTGGACACAGGTCCCTCTGATGGTGATGACAAATGGAAATCCCAGGATGGCCAGTGGACCTCCAGACAGGGAGGCTCCTGATTGCGTGTGAGAGCACATTTCTTTGCACACTTGAGTCATTTTCATCCCGGTTGATTGTTTCTGAGATAACCTTCCCTCTGCTCTTGTTGAAATTTAGTTTTCTGAGATTGTTCATGAGATTGAAAGTCTGTCTCTGTGCCTACTGGAAATATGTGTCCTTGTTTTAGAGAATCGACCATTGCAGACCCTGCATTTAGATGTGCATGCTGTCTTTTGATTGTTTTATGGGGATATTGAGTGTTCATCTTTTAAAGATATCATTGTGCTCTGGATGGGAGGCTCTGTAGCAAATTCAGTTTCCAATCCATAGTTCATACCTACATAGTTCCTTAGGCCCAGCTGCAACCCCCACAGTGTGTCAGCACTCGCCCCGTTTCCTCCCTGGGTTTCCCTGTGTCCATTATTCTGGTTTGCCTGCCCCTTGCTGTCACCCCATCGTCAGGGGTGGGCAAACATTGGCTTTTTTGTCTCATGCAGTTGACTGCTCTAAGGGGCGCATTGTGAACGGGTGGTGGTGTTTGATAGTCACGTGTATTCTGGGGCTTACTGAAAGGACAATGGACTACTGAAAGGACAAACCAATCTGTCCTGGAAGAAGTATGGCCACAGTGCTCCTTAGAGCCAAGCATGGCAAGACTGTCTTACACACTGTGGACATCGTGTCAGGAGAGACCAGTCCCTGGAGAAAGGTATCATGATTGGTACAGTGGAGGGGCGGTAAAAAAGAGGAAGGCTCTCAAGGGGATGGATGGACACAGAGGCTGCATCAATGGGCTCAGGCATAGGAGCCGTTGCGAGGATGGCCCAGGCCCATGCGGTGTCTTGTTCCATCGTGCATAGGGTTGCTACGGGCTGGAACGGACTTGATGGCCCCTAACGACATTATTGGGCTAACAGGTGGCCTTTGAACATGTGTCCCATTTCACTTTGTCTTGGGGCAATCGTTTCAGGGGTTCCTCTGGTCCCTTTTAGACCAGTAAGTCTGGTCGGATGTCTTTTTGACTCAAGTTCGGCTCTCTCTTTTTTTCACCCCCTCTATCCGGGACTTTCTATCATGGTCGGGGGCAGAGTGGGAGTCTGGTTCCAAGCCATGCAGCTGGTCTCATGCTAGAGCAGCCTGTGGTCCACATGGGTCATTAGTCCTTTGAACTACTAATTGCTTTCTTGAGTCTTCATTTTTCTTCATCCTCTCTGGCTCCAGATGGGAAGAGATCACAGCTGCTTCCAATTAGCAATAAAACACGCCTCGGATAAACCTCACTGGCTATGATATTGCCCCTGCGCAAAACTAAAAGCTGCTTCCAATACATGGCCACTTGCAAGATTTTAAGACTCCAGAGACACCCGCCGTACTAGGATGTAGAGCCTTAACTTTATGAATTGTGTTTTGCCAGTTGACCTACTCTGCCCTCCACACAGACCTGAAAAACAAGATTATGAGGTGTGATCGTTTACAATTCAAATCCGGGATGATTCATATAGTTCTCTGGTCAGGACAGCGTCTTCTCAGCCATGCCCTAGAGGCACATTGCTCAGACTTCAGTCATTAGTGTTCAATGCACCAACTCTGTTTTTGAGATGCTGTCTAAATTCAGGTGGGATAGACTCAAGGTCGTGTGTTGGCTCTTCTGCACTCATCTTAGTTTTCTCTGCCTTCATCCTGAACTTGCATATGCTCCACGTCAGCCCCGGCCTTGTTTTGGCTGATGACATTGACCTTCTCCTTTGTCTCCTCTCACAGTTGTAACCAGTTTGATCCCTGTGTATCCCACTTGGTGAAATCCATGTGTATAGCCACCATTCATGTTATTTAAAAACATATATTTGCAAGGAAGAAGTGGAGGTGGGACCATGCAAATAAGGTGTACAGAATCCTAAGGGGTGGGGATTGGTTGGTCAATTTCACCATCCCAGAGGCAGAAGGGGGACCTCACCACCATCAAGAAAGAAGAACTGGGGATGGAGCTCATCATCCTTTAGATCTAGAGAAACTCCTGGACCCAGGAGACAGAGAGCGCTATAAAACCAGAGATGAGAGGGCAAGAAACAGCAGCTGAGACTTGGCAGCCCCAGAGCAAGCAGAACCAGGTGCCTGGTAGATGGTTCCGTGACATCTGTCAGCAGAGCCCATTTAGGCAGGAGGGCTGCTGGGGGAGTGGTATGCCTCCAGGCACTTACTGGCCAAGCTAAAACACTTTGGAACACATGTTGGCACAGGGCTGAAGGGCTGCAGGCTAAGTTTCCTGGGGGTTTTATTGCTTTTATTAAATGTATGGTTAACTTCTCAACATTCTAACGGAAATTTCTTTAACCACGTATTTGACATGCCATTGTTTTCATTGAACAGAAATCGCCAAGCAGAGGTGTCCTTATGAACTCGGTAATGTGGTCCACTGACTAATTTGCCAATGACGTGACAATGTCATGATGTTAGGCTTCTTAATTTTAGAGTCTGACTTGTTCATTTCAGCCCAATCCGTAATCACTGTGCCACTAGAATGGACGTCCCGTGGGCTACCAGAACAAACAAATCTGTCTGGGAAGAAGTACAGCCAGAATGTTCCTTGGTAGTGAGGATGGCGACATTCTGTCTCACGTGCTTTGGGCATTATGATTAGGAGAGACCCATCCCTGAAAATTGACATCCTGCTTGGAAAAGCAGCAGGTCAGGAAAGAGGACGGTCCTCCG